ACCGGGCCCAACCTGAAAGGTCCGTACTCCTTGCGAGTGAGCTTGCCCCTGCCGACGAACAACATATAAGCAATAGGAATACTGTAGGAAAGATAGATGCCGATAATCGCCATAGATAAGACCGCATTGAAAGCAGTAGTGTTAGCCAAATAGAGAAAGCCGAGAAGAATCTGGGCCACAGTAACAAAGACTATTGAAGTTACTGGGACCTGAAGTTTCTTATTGACGTAACTGAAATGCGAGTCGAATGGAACAGCTCTGTCTCTAGCGAAGGCCCAGAGCGTGCGGGAAGCGGAGGTAATGCCGCCTACTGTTGCAGCAATTGCGATCAAGATCACTAGGAGCGAGAGCACTGTCGCCCCCGCCCGAGATCTAGTGACATCGAGATAAATCTGCATGAAGGGGAAGCCGGTTGGTGTAGTCAAGAGGGAATCCAGTGACCCTGTCGAGAACAGGAGGACTGTGCAGTAAATGAAGCCCATCAGGCCATTTACAGTTACGCTTCCGACCATAGCAATGGGGACATTACGTGGGGCGTTGGGGATCTCCTCGGCCATGTGACAAGCAGCGTCGTACCTTTTATAAACCAAGTCAGCGACCTATTGCGAGACCATAGATGGAAAGATAGTTCATAGGGGAGACTTACCCAAGGAAAGGATACACCGCGCTAATCAAGCCCACGAGCCACGACACACCATCATTCTCCCAGCCACTACTGTTGACAACTTCGGTGAAGACAAAAGACGCGGTGTTTTTGGGAGCCATGACGCCAAGGACCACCAGTATGACTACGAAACCCACAACGTGGAGAATGCCTTAGCGAGGTCAGCGAGAGTTGGCGTAAATGGACTTTAGTTTTATTCCTCTTGTCTTCCTTACCTGAGATCATGTTTGCGTGGGGCAGCATCTTTGATCCCCAGATGTTGAGCGCCGCTGAGTATAGGAGCACAGCCCAGTAGAACAACATGCCCTGCCATCGTGCCGGTATGTAAGAGTCGTCGTTGATGACAATCAAGGACTGGGTCTGCAGGCCAGCTGCAAACGCCGCTGATGCACAGAAGACAATGAGGCCGCCCACGGAGATCCAGCCGGTCGTGAAGGCTGCGAGTGATCGGCTACGAGGGGGACACAAGGCGGCGACCCAATGATACTGACCTACAATGGAGTGATTAGCTTTGAGAAGGTAGGAGCCAGGGTTTTCAGAGAAGCTTACCTCCTGCAGTAGGATAGATGGACGCAATCTCGCCAAGAGATGATGCTATGCACACAGAGCACAGAAAGGAAAGAACACTGAGCAGATTGTCAACCCATGTTCGACGACTTGAAAGTTCTCCACTGCGTGACAGACACAGAATAGAGTGGTTAAATAAACTCACAAGTTGTAGAATAGACATGGCGCACCGCCATTCACGAGTGCTTGAGCAATGACAGTGGAAAGTGCTTCCCATGTTGCCATAAGACATAGGCATAATGCCCCCAAGGTTGTCAAAGAGAATTGCCGCTTCAGCTCCTGCTGGTGACCGAGTTGCGCGAGCCGTTCTTCATCAGAAAGGACAAGATAGCCGGGGATGCTATCAACTACCTTGAGCTGGTCGTCGGTCTTTGATTCGTTCTGGTCCATGATGGAGTTTCGAGCCATTCTGTCTGGATCGCTTCTTGCTGTTGGGTGTTTCCCATTCAACTTTGTTTGCTTTCTTTCTTATTTCTTTTCGAGTCCGGAACACGGAATTGGGGTACCGGACACGGCGGATGCAGAATTTCGAAGAGAAAGGGGATGTGACAGACTGATAGTCACGCGGGTATGTCGGGGATTGGGATTACCCAGCGCGAACTATCAGCACCAGTCTGGCTTTGATGATGCGGCAGCAGCGGCACAATGCCTAGCAGAATAACTATTGCTAATGCTTTGATCTTAACAGGCTCTTGGTGTTTCTAGTTGGATGGAAATCGCGTTCAGGGCTGAGAAATTGGTGACAATGCCCGGTGGCGGCGCTTGACCGTTCTCGTCGAGAAGCGAGATACTGGAGCATGGGCGATTTCCGCATTCCGAGAGAGGGCAGTTGGGGGTTTGGGGGTCACCAAATGCAACACGCCTCACAGACTCAGTAAACAACAATAAGCAGCCCCCTCCGTGATCGACGAGAGGCAAGGTCCTGATGTTGCAGAAGTGTTGGACACCTATGAGGAGTAAGGCAGGTACTTGGTCACCTGATTGGTCATTTGGGATGATGCCGGCCATCCTTGTAGAGAGAATCACCATATCTGCTGAACGTGTCTTTGTTCACTGTCTGACTCCTGGCGAAAGATAAGGAACCGCTGCGATATCTTTACTCTTACCTTTGACACGTCTGTCTGCCGTATCTAGTTGTAGTTGAGAAAATAGGGGAATAAGTCCAAGCCACGTTTGGCATCCGACTTTCAAGCAAGGCAATGCCTGCTCATGCCATATTATCGGGCCTGGAGAGGTCCAGAAGTCCAGGGAAAGGTTCGGGAACGACACTGCTTGCTACTCGGAACCCCATAGCTTCCGCTCGGAACGCACCCCGCATTCTCTGCAAGCCATCCCGACGTTCCGTGCGGGGGTCATACCCTTGGCTGCATCTGCAAAGCGACCTGGGGGTGGGGAACGCGGGGAATTAGTGTACTTCGTAATAAACCAGTTCCGAGAGGTCTGTTTCCAGATGGTGGTTTGCCAGGAAGGACAGTACCGACGGGACCCGGCAGGAAAGCTTCTGATACTCAGAGAGCGGCTCTGAAGCCGGGTAAGCACGGCGAGCTGGGTCTGTCCGTATATCATGGAGGTGGTGGTTAGCTAGCGAGTTCGAGTAATGAATCAGATTTACAACACAATTCATCGTCTACAACACGTTGAAGCACAGAAACATCTCAATTCGACGCCATGGCCATCTCAACTGCCGTCTTTGCTTTGAAGCAAAGAATATTTGACCACGCTCTGCAGTCGACTGCCATCTCAATTCTCCTCCTACCCCTCATCTACGTCATTGCAAATGAATTCATTCGCTCCAAGGCCAGGATAGCAAAACTAGACGGTCCTGGAGGGCTGCCACTCATCGGCAACCTGTGGGATATCCGGGTCAACGCGGCTGAGCAGTACCGTAAATGGGCCAAGAAGTTTGGCTCTGTCTACCAGATCCAACTAGGCAATGTTCCTGTTGTTGTCGTGAACTCTGCTTCTGCGGCCAGGGCTCTCTTCGGACAGAATGCTCAGGCACTCAGTTCTCGCCCAGAGTTTTACACTTTCCACAAGGTATGTAAGCAGATGATGACATAGCATGGTGTTTTAGACCAATATCTTGGCAATGAGGCTGATTGAAGGACTTCAGGTTCTCTCAGATACGGCTGGAACGACCATCGGTACATCTCCCTACAGCGACTCTCTTAAGCGTCGCCGCAAAGGCGCTGCTTCAGCCTTGAACCGACCCTCAGTAGCCACCTATGTGCCGCATCTCGATGTCGAATCGCGAGACTTCATTAAGGAGCTTTACGAATATGGAAAGGCTGGACAGGCTCCCGTTGATCCCATGCCAATGATTCAACGCCTGTCATTGTCCCTTGCCTTGACTTTAAACTGGGGTACTCGCATGAGCAGTCAGAAGGACAACCTCTTCAAGGAGATCACTCACGTCGAAGAGGAGATTAGCCGCTTCCGTTCAACTACGGGCAACCTTCAGGACTACATCCCTCTCCTGCGCATTAACCCCATTAACATGCACTCCGCCAAGGCACGAGAGATGCGCAGCAGGCGCGATGTCTACTTGACCGCCCTGAACAGAGGTCTGGATGAGCGCATGGCGAACGGCACTCACAAGCCCTGTATCCAGGCCAACGTCATCATGGATAAGGATGCGAAGCTGAACCAGGCGGAGCTGACCTCCATCAGCTTGACAATGCTATCAGGAGGACTCGACACCATCACGACCCAGGTGGCTTGGTTCATCGCCATGCTTTCTCAGCGCCCAGACATCCAAGACAAGGCTGCGGCCGCAATTAGAGAATTCTACAGCGAGAAGCAACCTCTCTGCGACGCCGAGGACGACCAACAGTGCAAGTACATCGTGGCCTTGGTGCGAGAATCCTTGAGATACTACACTGTCCTTCGCCTTGCTCTTCCCCGAGCTTCGGTTCGTGATGTTCCTTACGGACAGACCGTCATCCCCAAAGGATCAGTCATCTTCCTCAACGCGTGGGCTTGCAACATGGGTAAGACATATACTTCACCTTGAGCCTCAATTTTCAAGTACTCCACTAACACCCCATAGACTCTGAAGTGTGGACCGACCCCGAGGTCTTCCGCCCCGAGCGGTGGTTCGAGCAACCTGACGCGCCGTTGTTCACATACGGCGTCGGCTACCGCATGTGCGCTGGCTCTTTGTTGGCCAACCGCGAGCTCTACCTCGTCTACATGAGACTTCTCAATAGCTTCAAGATTGAGAAGCACGACGATGTGGACCACCATCCCGTTTCTGGCAACGCCGATCCTACTTCCCTTGTAGCGATGCCTAGGCCGTACAAGGCGAGATTTGTGCCTCGCGATACTAGCACATTGAGTGATGTGCTAAAGGCGACCGAAGAGAAGGTCTAATGGGTGCGCTTTTGGATAGTTGATGGGAGATGGTGTAGATGAAAGTACTTCATGTGAATGGGAGGGGAGGTTAGAGGAGGTGAGCTTGACAGGAAGTTTCCAATTAAACAGGGGATGAATACCAAATGCAAGATTTATTTCAAGATCAAGATATATTTCTACATCCTCGGCACCCTAATTGTGAGCGAAGGATGACTTGACTCAGTTGAGGACGCTTTACCATACGTTAGAAGACCCCGAAATTCCAAGGCTCAACGCTTTCGTTCCTTGCTGTCCTGCTCACTGATAATGCAATCTTGCGACCCATTTTTGCCAGAGGTTGCGACGAGTAGCCGTAATTTTACATTCACAAAGACTTGTGCTGAAAAATGTCCTTGGTCGATTCCATAAGAGCAGTCTAAATCAAACCCCAAAAGTGACGTGAGATCTCCTCCTCTCCAGACAATGGTTGCTGCTGCTCGTTGCCACCCACGCAGTCCTGCATCCCATTTGCCCATATATCCTCCGTCTGCCCAAACGCGTCGAAGAGGAACATCAAGTCGTTGCTGAGAGCAAATGCATCTGGAGCTCCAGCACCGAACTCTGCACTCATACCCGTGGGTTGTACCGATGGCATCGGGGCAAACTCCGAGTCCAAACCAACAGCCGACGTGGGATTTTCTTCCTCAATCACAGTGTCCATGGGGTGAGAAGAACTGGAGATGATGTTCAAAGATTGTTGCGCGCCTGCATCAGCACGTCGGCCACCAGCGATTTCATCACCGCGGAGCCCGATGCGATGAGCTAGGGGCAAGAGACCCCGTATGCTCTTCCAAAGTCTGCGACTGGCTGTTCCCTGGCGAGAGAAACACTTGACGAGCTCCACCGCGGCGAGGAAGCTGTCTCTGCATGGTTCGGCAAATATTCTGGTGCCATGACAGACGGCAAGAAAGATGACCGCCAGAGAACTCAACAGGAAATAGTTGAACGCGCTCTGCTGCCGTTCGTAGATATCGCTCGTTTCGCTCAGATGAACCAAGACGGATATACTATCGATAGCAATATCCACGACAAGACGTGCCTTCTCGACATCAGCTTCGATGCTTGCAGAGCTGATGACATGATGTCGGTGTATCAGAGTTCTTATGTGATTTCCCCGCAGGTACAAGAGGGCTCGTAGCCGGCGGATGGATCGGGGCTGAGCTGTCGGTATACTGCCATGTTGCGGATGTCGTAGTTGAAGATCAGGGGGTATTGAGTTGAGCCAAGTTTGCGCTGTAAAGTCAAGGAATGCAACCGTGTCTTTTGGAATAGACTGAGATGGTGCGCTGAATGGAGGCAGAGCGTCCCATGCCTTGGAGCATAAACGCCCGTAACCTATCAAACAACGAAGGTACTGGAAATCTTCAGACTGGAACTCAGGTTAGCGAAGTAGCTTCTTACGAGATTGTAGGGTTACTCACTGGCTCAGGCAAGTTTGGATCGATATCTCGGTCAAACAGGGCAAATGATAGACTGGTTCCGAAACTCCAGCGACGATCCAATACATAAACGCACCAGAACACCCGCACTGCTAGACTCCGCGTCTTTGGGTCTGGAAAATTGTCTGTGAGACTCAGATTCTGATGTAAGCCCATCTCCAGAGATGCTCGCGCTGCGATGCCAATGTTTCTCCATGCGAGTAACTCCTCGTCTGAGAAGAAGTAGTAGATACTCTTTCATAGTGTCAGCCGCTTCGACTACCAAAACCACGGGTCTGTCGGACTTACAATCATAGCCATTATTTGAATGACTTTGAGGTCAGCCTCCGCATCGAGCGTAAGCTGGTAGATCAGATGTTTGACAGGTTCAACCAGCTTGCTGCTTGATAAGTTCTTGCCATGCGCCTCGACCACCATGCTTATGGCTATAGCTACTTTTGCGAGTATGACATCTTTGATGTCTACACTTCCGCCTGTCATGGCGCCAGGTGCCATGCAATCTGTATTTGCTTCCACGTACGCACGAATATCTGCTGCTTTCGAAATCATCTCACGCGTGTCGATAAAGGGGTAGACTATCTCAACCTCTTCCTCAAAAACTTCAAGAAGTCTCACGAATTCCTCAAGTGGCATAGTGAGAAGGATATCTGTTCCAGGTGCCCACTGCGGGGGTTCAGATTGTTCGGGGGTCGGGTATCGGGTCGGTGCAAGAGACTCGCTGACCGCTGCCGTGACCGGATCCTGGGCTGAGATCCCCATCCTCGTTAATGACGTTTCGGCAACCTTGAGACTAAACGCTGATCTGGTGGGTCCCACAAATTGTGGTTGCTTCGGTTCTTGTTCTCCCTGTACAGAAGAGTTGTCGTGAAGAGACATTTGTTGCTGGGATCCTGGGGAAGCTGACATTCCCTGACGGCTCTTGTCAGAGGCCAGCTTTCCTACGGTATTTGCGAGGGTAGCCACCTGCTCTCTGAGCATGGAGAGCTCGCTCCGGAGATCAGTACTTGGCTGGCTGTTGGGTGCGAATTAGCACTTAAAACAAGGCATTTCAAGCATACTTGAACAAGAGGGCGTACTGACCTATTTTGCCTCGACTTTCTCCTACTTCTGACCCTTTCCCTGACACCAGTCGCGCCATCTTGCGAAGGAGCTGGGCCGAAGGTGCATGAAACGCCGCCTGACATGCATCTCTGGCATTCTTCCTCATTTTCTAATCTGATGCACTTGAGTTTCCGTTTCTTGCACTCGGTGCTATTTCATGATGAGCTTCCACTTATGAAATTCTGAGACTTGGTTTCACTCACCAAGCAGCGGCTGCATATTTGGCACGCTTAGACCTCGTGGGATGTGTCGAGCCAGCCACCGACCTCCTGCGCGCCCCCGATGTTGCCGTGGGAGACTGCGCTTCTTCATTACCTGACAGGTCAAAGTCCTCGTCTTCTACTGTCATCTTGAAGAGTCTGTGGAGTGCGAGACGAGTCGCAGAAACGACAGAATATCTGGCCAGGAGGTTGGCCACCGTTAGAGTTCAAAGAAGTTGCGCTGCACCGCGACTCGACAGGCTGGGGAAGAGTGGGGGTTAAGTACGAAGTGTGCTACCCCCGAATACCGACTGGGATCCGGCCTCCGGCACATTTCCCCGCATGTGCTACCCGCACCCGCCTTGCTTCGTGGGGTTTGATGAGCCACCAATATTGCAGCAATTACTCAGTGACATCCTCCGTCTGTTGTGCGCGACTCCAGAGACTTTGGAGACTTAGGAAATTTTGTTTTTCAATGAGAATAATTGAATAGGCGTGTATGAATTGGACAGCGAGTTTGGGCTGAGGGGCTCACAGTTACTTTACACTGTTGCACACCACAATACTTACTCCAGTGGTTTCACTCACCTATCGAGCTGCCACGGAACGGTTCCGAAGTCATAAGCTGCAGGCTACCAATCGCATTTGGTCTTGGTTCTTCACAACGACGCAATTTCTATAACTTCAGGACTTCAAGCCACAATTGAGATATCACGTAAATTCCTCAACACTGTGATCAGCTATATTGAGCTCAATTGAGTAAACTCAAAGCGTGTCGCAAGAAAGGAAAATCGAGCAATGTCTAGTCTAATCCCATCAACAGGTCAAGATTACCTGATCCAAAAAGCCGATTTCAATGTCGCTAATCGAGTCTCATACTCGGAACTTCTGTGGCCCACGTTTAGAAAAGGACGCAGTAATAATAGATAAGTGAAACTCTTAAATTGAGCGTCAGAGGGGGCCAGGAAATGAAAGCACATTTTAGCCTGCACTATCTAGTGTCTTCAGGGCATTGAATCATCTGAAATGCAACGCACGCCTCAGATTTGTTACAAAGGCGGTGGATTTCTACCTGGCGTGAAGATGCATCCTCTTGGGGAGGAAGAAGTTGTAACAAACCACAGAAGTATTGACCGTCCTGGAACGAATTGAAACATAAAAGCTATGCAATTGATGAAGAGCCTCAACATAGCTGCCTGGGATTAGACTGACTTGAGGATTATAGAATAAGAGACACCACATCTGTAGCGCAGAGCCTGCAAGTAGCGCCATATCATCCAACGACCACGACACCTGTCCTAATTGTTCCCTCTCCAGCACAAACCGTGCCAAGTCTTCAGGTGATGAGAAAATCTACGTCTGACTCAGGGTTCTGGTCCCCTCGTAATACTGTACTTGTTGTCGTAGATCTTGCGTTGTTCAAGTTCGGCCACCGTGAGTAGATTATCGCCTTTCCCACCGTTAAAAGTGTAGAGAAGACAGCCGACTTGGGTTGCACCGCCAACGCCGCCGTTGTTGCCTGAACATTGCGCAAGATTAGCTCAGTGCCAGATATTGTAGCGATTGATTTCGACTTTGCTCGTTTGCTTAAGAAGGTTGAAATCCAATGGCGTCGTAGCCTGAGTTGACTTACACTTCTTGAAATTGTCATTCATGATGGATGCACAGGACGGCTTTCCGTCCTTGCTAAGCAAAGGATCATCGACCCTCTGCGCACCGAACGCGGTTCTGCAGCCAGCCACCCACTGAACGTAAAAGTCGTAGTTGATTTTCCAGCTATCCTTCCACCTGTAGCGCGACCTGAAAACAACCGGATAATGGTTCTCCGCCGGGTCATGGTACGTCGTGAAGATCCGTTTGCCCTGGTCGCTGGCGCAGAAACTCAACGAAGCTTCCCATTGCATGCTGGGGTTGATATCGGCGTGGCCCGGGAAGTCGGCTTCGTCGTGACATTGGACGTCGTGGGCTGCCCAGGGCTGTTTCTCTCTTCCTTGCTCATCGAGAGATCTCGGATCAATGGTCGTATCAATTGGGACTGCGTGGGCTGTGGCTAGGCCTACGGCAAGGGCACAGATGATCAGGGGGAGAGTAGAGCCGTACATTGTGTTATTACGTGCAAAAGGGTGTACCGATTCGAGGGATTAAAACATGGAAGAGAGCGTGTTCTCGATGAAGCATGAAACTAAGACTGATTCCAATGGGTCGTGAGTCTTGTTTATGAGTTTTTCCTCTGCCCATCTAGATGACTGGCTCAGTGGTAGCACGAAAAGATCGTACAAAGGAAAATGGGACCAGAGTCATCAGACCACTCTGCTGCCAGTGTTATTCAGAAACTGTTTGCAAAGACGCCGCGGCGAGGTCGGTGCTCACGATCATTGAATACCACAAAGAGACAAAGAGCTCAATTGGTCGCATCAACCGGTTTTGGCACTTAAAGATCAGAAGTTCCCATCTTCTTCGCTCCCTCGAATCTCAGCCGCCGTAATGGATCTCGTATCGAGCAAGCAATCATGGAATGATAACGCTCGGGAGTCGGGACATCTATAAGTGTGACCTCGAGCACAAGTTCAAGAAGTAATAACAAGCATTCAACCTTCGAATACGAGATCGTATTGTGTTTGTAGTGATGTGATAGCCCCATCAGAACTAAGGCATTGTTTCTCTCAACTTCCTGGCATGGCACAGGTATGCAAGCAACCATTTCTGCGCCTCCCAGTACTTAGTGCGAATTCAGTTCCGGAGTTGTCTCTTGCGATGATGTTGGTCTTTGTTGCAGTTTATTTACGTTAGGTACACAGGGAGTCGCTGGTTGCCTTGAAGGGACGTGTGATCATCGCAATACCAACATCTACTTACTGGATCGCAAGGCTCTACGTTGCAAGTACCAACGAATGGCTTCAAAAACAGCAAACCCGGCAATAACCAACAACCAACATTGGTTTTCTCAGAATTCCTCCATTCCGTCTGTTTGGATCAAAGCCCGGGTCATACACCTCGAGCACCTGATGACAGGCGGTCAAATCTGCGTTCAAAGCTCCCAGATCAGCCCCTGCCAAGGGACCGAATCGCATCCATGCCGATCGATCATCCGTTCTTTGGGCCCATGAGTCCACCCTCTGCTTCTAGGTCTAAGAACGACGGTCTAGGCAGAATGCTGCAGTTACATCAGCCCAATGGGGAGAATGGAGCTGAAGCGACGGAAGCCGCGCGGAACGAGGAGACGTTCACGCTGTTCCCGTCCCGCATACCCATGCGTCTGTAGACTGACCATGTGCAGCCACGCGAGATGCACATGTGCATGGATGCAACAGAACGAACAGGCATCTAGTGCGAATCATTGCGAGTTGCTGATCAGGAGAGGAAGCTACCTACAGAGTACAGAGTACAACAGTTCCTGAGCGGCTCAAGTCGGGAAGACTCCAATGTGGACTATGTCAAATGCCACTCGCTGATATTTACCATGCACAAGCACGAGTACGCAAACCGGTCGAGTAAGCCCGAGTCCTGTAAGAAGAGTGAATTCTTTAGAATCTTTTGGATTTGAAGACAACATTTTGCGCACAGAAAATTCTGGGAAACGTAGACTGATCACGTCTTGCCGTTCTCATCTATCGTCATCGACCAGCTTTCTTCGTCTGGTCAACGCGTGGACCGGCGGGAGAATTGCTGTTTTGGAGAGCTGCTAGACTCTTGGCTTTGATCAGGTATTCTGCCCACCTCGGCACGCTCGACTGTCATGAAGACAACGAGCACTAACGTCAATTTCGGGAGGTTGCATTCCCTCATTGTTAGCTGGCTCAAGAGGACTCCAACAACAGACCCGAGGGAAAGGAACCCGGATGGACCAACGCAACAATTGGAGACTGAAGTCTTGGCTGATAGGGTATGATTGTGAATACGAAAGTGCCTTCGAAAACAAAACGAGAATCATGGATGTTGGATGACTTGTGGAGGTGGAGACATCGAATCGGCTGCAGGCCTGGTGATGTTGGTCCAAAGTAACGGTTCTGGTCTCCTGCCATTTCAAGTCTAGCGAGGCTTGGACAGTTAAAGCGGGGGAGATAGTGAGGATGTCGGGTCAGTCATTATTAACTGAGCAAGAAGTTGCCCTCTTCAATTGCAGGGAAGCAGCTCAATAGAAGCAATCGGGGCAGTAGCACGCTAGCAGCAGCAGTAGTCGACTGCATGGAAAATAGTCAAGGCTCAAATGCGAAGAGATCATATTCTGACCCGTTCTGACAGCTTGTTTGACTGTCTCGCAGGTATTCTTAGTCAGAACAGTGGGTAAAGTCTTCCTCGTCTGTGCGCTTCAGCTATCGATTCAGTCATTCTTATTCAGACTCTGTCGATTCAACCCAACGCTCCCTAGCCTCGTTTCCAGCCCGTCACTCCGTGCAGCTATCAGACGGGTAAACATTGCATTGCTGACCCGATTCCGCGTAAGAAAATGGCAATACTGGAAGGAGGTGAGGCAAAAGAGCCGATGGAAGCCAATTCGGAGGTGGAGATTTGGGGAACCATTCACACTGGGGCTTGATACGATCCCTGTTGACTTTGCAGATGCAGGCGCCAGGAGGTACCTGAAGGGGAAATAAACTCTTTTAACTTTTAGATAGAGTTCGGGTGTCGTCGCTTATTCCCACCGAGCTTCTATCCGTAGACGGCAGTCGACGATCAAAAGAAAGTCAATACGGGTTACCTCTGACTAACACTTTGGCGCGCTTCCTGGTAATCTCCTACACCCTGTGACCTAGACATTTTGTCTCGAAAGCCGTTCTACGACAGGGAAATCATCGCGCCCCATGTCAGGAAAAGAAACGCCGTCGACGGCTAGCTCTGACCTTCCATCGTATCCAACTTCTGTGCTGAACAAGGCAGCCTGGGAGACAAGACGGACCGGCCGCTTGTTTGCTTGGCAGTTGCCTATCAATATGTCCCTGTCCAACCAATAGGTACTGACGTCCTGTTTGATTCAGGTACTTGGCCCACTGCTATCAGCCTTGGCACCGATGCATCGCGCACCGAAAGAACTTTTGCTGCCGCGAGCCTCATCACCGCTTTCAGTCTTGTGCCGGCCTGCGCTCCGTGAAGGGAGAGTCTTCGGACGCCTCGGCCACCCAGGGGCTCCACGCGGGAGCGGTCATCATGG